TTAAATTTGAATATATTTTAAAATGTCATTTATTTCTGCGATGCAAAGCTGAATTTTCAGCATCATCACTCCAGTCTTCAGTGTCACATGATCCTTCAGAAATCAGTATAATATGCTGTTCTGCTGCTCAAGCCACATTTATTTATTATTGTTATCAATGTTGAAAACAGTTGTGCTGCTTCATTTTTTATTTATTTTTTTTCTGTAATCCATGATATCTTTTTTCAGGATTCTTTGATTTTTCAGTTCAAAGGAACAACGTTTTTTAATAGAATTTTTGTGCAACATTGTAAATGTCCTTAATGTCACCTTTTTATCAGTTTAATACATCCTTGCTAAATAAAATTATTAATTTCAAAGAAAGAAAGAAAGAAAGAAAGAAAGACTTAACCCCAACTTTTCAGCAGTAGTGTCCATCTGAACATATTTTGATTCAGAAACACCAAACCCAGCGTCGAATCTTCCATAGACACATCTCAGCAATATTCAGATAGTATATAGTTTTACAAGTTCATCTTTTGCATTGCTTCTTCCTCAGTGTAGAATATTTGTTTGCATGTGTTAGTTTTATACTGTGTGAGTCTGAATAGTGCACGTCTCTGTCTCTGGCAGGAGTCGGGTCTGGCGACGGACGTTGGCAGGATGTTTAACACGTTTGATTGTCTTCATGTTGCTCTGTGCACCAGCGTTTGCTCGTGAGTATCTTTTCAAAATACTGTTTGATGTTTCATGTGTTCCAGAGATTTAAACTAGTGATAAAATGCTAATCATCCCATAATGCCTTTGTCTTTCTTGTTTTTTTTTGTTTGTTTTGTTTTTACTTGTTGTTTCAGACATCTCAGATAGATACGAGGAATCAAGAAATCTGCTATTTTTAAAGATTGATGATTAATCCATATTCTATTTAATAATTTAGCAGACATTTTATTTAAAACCATTTCATCCTTGACAACTGCCTTATTTTCCCCATTAGATCTTTATTAAAGGAATAGTTGACCCAAAAATGACTGGGGTTGACGACAAAAATTGCTACGATGTAGATGAGTTTGTTTCTTCATCTGAACTGATTGGGAGAACTTTAGCATTGCATCCCTTGCTCACCAGTGGATCCTCTGCAGTGAATGGGTGCCGTCAGAATGAGAGTCCAAACAGCTGATAAAAACATCACAATAATACACAAGTAATCCACACCACTCCATAATCCATAATAACACTAATCCATCCCTTGTTTTCCTCTCACAACAATCTATATCCACCAATATATTTGTTTAGAACTATTTTTGCTGCTTGATCTGTGCATATTTCCCTCCTGATTAAGATGAGAACATTTTTTTTTTCACTGGAGAAAGCAATATTATGGTTGGATTATGGACTTGTATTTTAGCCAGAAGCAATGGACTCGAGTCTTGATGGATTTGCTTCTTATAAACATGCAGCTTTTCGCTTCACAAGATGTTAAATGATGGACTGGAGTCATGTAGATTGCTTGCAGATTATTGTGATGTTTTTATCAACTTGCTTTTATCAGCAAGCGATGCAATGCAACATTTTTCAAAATTTGTTTAGATAAGGAAACGTCTCGGGTTACGTATGTAACCCTAGTTCCTCGAGGGAACGAGACGCTGCGTTGGAAAACGCTAGGGGAACGCCCTTCAGTGTGACGGGCTCTGAACTTCGTGTGTAATCAGACCAATAGATGTGCGAGACGTCACGGCGGGTGACGTAATGACCAGGAAGCTATAAAAGCACGTGCGGTTAGACCAGCATCAGCTTCTAGGCATGAAGCAAGCTCTGGCAGGGACGCCGGAAGTATGGCACCGAGACGCAGCGTCTCGTTCCCTCGAAGAACTAGGGTTACATACGTAACCCGAGACGTTCCTCTTCAGGAACTCGAGCTGCGTCGGAAAACGCTAGGGGAACGAGAATGCCCACGCCGCCATACTTCCAAGTCTCTGCCTAGTGTGGAAGACTGCACAGCTAAGGCGAGAGAACCGAAAATCCAGGAGTGGCTCGCATGTCTAGATCGTAAAACCTAACAAAGGTAAGGGGCGTGGACCAACCCGCAGCGTTGCAGATGTCCTGCATAGGCACACCCGCTAAAAAAGCCTTAGAGGCTGCCACACTTCGAGTCGAGTGACTCCTAACGGTGAGGGGAGATCAGAAGACTCATAACAGCTAGAGATGGCATCCACTATCCACCGACTGAGGGTCTGTCTAGTTGCTGGAAGACCTCTCTTCACAACCTCGGTTGAGAGACCGGAACCTACGAGTTGTGCCCCCTCAGGGGCCACACCCACAACTTTCACAGCTCTGGGCGGGGGTGAATGATCATACCCTCCGCCTGTGAGAGGAGATCTCTCCTGACGGGAATCTCCCACGGAGCGCCG